GATGATGATGATGATGATGATGATGATGATGATGATGATGATGATGATGATGATGATGATGATGATGATGATGATGATGATGATGATGATGATGATGATGATGCAAGGTATGTCTGGCAACTGCCTACACCTTACAGCCCAAGGCAGGAATAAGTTCGCAGCACATAATGCTGCATGGAAAAAACGAAGCCGAGAAACTCAGCGCAGCAAGTCAGCGTCGAAATGAACATGAAAAAGTCGGCTGTACACAATATAGCCTTATACCCGACAGAAGGTTTCGGTAGAGATTCTAGTCTGGTCGTACATTTTTCCAATTATTCAGTGTAGTTGGCCTCCGCCATGTCAACTTTAGGGCCTAACTTCAGCAACTTTAGATATCGACTCTGCTGAGCAGAAATCTCAGATCGCCAACCTAACTGAGTTGCAGTGTCAACTATCGCGCTAAAGCACGTTTTTGTTGATTGTTTACTATGATTTCCAAATCACCTCCTTTATGCTGAGTCACGAGTGGCTTATGCGATCCATAAAAACAGTGGCAAGAAAGGTTGTTTTGGAAGCGCAGACTTCACAATCGATGTTGCTAAGCTAACAAATCCGTCTTCAGGGAAAAAAAGGCATGGAGTTCTGCCCGGAGAGAGCATGCGCAGAGTTCGCGCCACACGCATGATGGTGTGGAAATCGACACAACTGGAGTTAATTTACATCTAACACTACCATACCACCGGATTCATCCTAGTAGTTGAGGTTGAGATTTGCTACTGTTAAACCACGCAGCCGGTATTATCCTTTCGGGGCGTACCCCCTGAGGGACAACACATTCGCCCCTGGAGTACCTTTTACTTGTTACATACGTGTCGCATCAATTAATTTAAAATGCGAGAGGACGACGAAGGATAGGAGAGGAGATTCTCACGTTTTTAGGCTTGTCAGCCAGGGCAGAAGACGACCACAGAGTAGCCAACCGAGCGTCCCAAATCGTATGGACTTGGCTTCACGGTTCTTTAGCATCCGCTGTCGACTGTTAGTCGGTTTCTGCTTCCCCCCACTGTCCCCCTGTGCCAGGTCTGTAAAAGCCACCAATGATAAGACCAATCGCAAGGCCAGACCAGCCTCGGCATTGGGAGAACGAAGAGGTGTGTCAGCTTTGAGGGGTCGACCTCGCTGCCTTTGAATGCCCAGACATTCGTCCACAAGGAAGAGGAGAAAGTCACGAGTGCGTTGCACCTCCGTGGCCAGCACCAGACGCGCAGGGGCGTCTGCGGTGGCGGCAGCGGGGTCACTGTCCCGTGGCAGCCAGCCCGTTGCCACAAGACGACGAATCAGAGGGCGGGAGAGGGCACCGCTCTGGCTACCGCATGCAGCCACCTCAACGGCAACAAGATGTTGTAGGCTGCTTAACTGGAGCGCGTATGCAGTGGGCCCGTCAGCCCCCCCGAAACGGACCTCGGCTGTAACGGACAATGGATCACTGTATTCCACATCTTCATTGCCAAGTCGCTGTTTCCACAGTCCCGGTACAGCACTGTCTGCGGCAACCAGGAGACATGTGACGGGCAAAGGTGGTTTCAGCACCCATCCGGTAGCAGCATTCACCAGAAGGGCTACGGAATAGACAAGACCAGTGACAGCGTGCGGTGGACATCCCAGAAAGGCGATTTGTGTTAGGCGAAAAAACTGGCAGAGGCTCAGCGAGGAGCGTTGTTTAGCTAGCCAGGTGAGAAATAGGGAGGGTTGGAGGACCGCGCCGGGCGACAGCGGCGGCGGCGAGGAGGCGATGAGAAGGCGCGCAGCTCGTCGTTCTGATTCGGGTACAGTGGTAACGTCGGTGATGCAGGTCTCACGGGCTGCACCGGTACGAAGACGAAGCAGGGCTGAAAGAACGGTGCATGCGCCGGTGACGGTGGGGTCTAATTGGCGTAGACGCGTTCCCAAAGCCTCTTCTGTTGATGCTGAAGTGACTGCTGACAGGAGATAGCGTAGAACTGCCTCCTCGACGCTTAGTTCTTGGTCTACTTCTGGTCTCTCCGTCTCAGCTGTTGGTGGAGGTGGCGCAATGAAGCTGCCCCTGGGGATACTTCCGATCGGAGGTGAGTGGGGGCTGGTGACTGTGCCGAGAGACAAATGAACCGACGTACTGATGGCGGAGTGTGATTGAGTTGGCCGTTGACCGTCTGTAGTGGAGAGGGACTTGGAGTCGATCACTTGGGGTCTTTGCAGCGGCGGTGGTGACTGAGGCGGGCTGGCTGGAGTCAGTGCAGTCGACACCAGATGATCCTCATTTTCTACATCCCTCATCTGTGGCCTCTTGTGACCCAGTTGACTCTGGCTGGGAGGTGATGCGATTGTCAAGGCAGCTTTCTGGACTTCCCGTTTCTCCGTTTCCTTGTTGACCGCCCCCTCCAGACTCTCGGTGACCGAAGTAAGGTCATCGCTGGTCAGCCGATTGAACCAATCCGCGACGCCGGCGGGGTAATGGGCATTAAGAATCTGCGAAATTACCGCCGATGGGGAATGTTCCGGGGAGGTGGGGAGGGAAAGGACAGTGGATGGCGTGACAGATGGGCCTCGTCGGCGGCACACCTTGGGGTGGGTAATAACCCTACCAGCAGGCATGTCAGCGTCTAGATCCAAATTGATTCTGGGGCCCTTTCTCGAGGCGCACAGCCGCGAGGTAAGACACGGAGCAGTCGCAGAGGGACGTGGAAGGCCCGTGTCCTTGGAGGAAACAGGATGCGGAGAAGGGGAACGATCCATTTCCGGTGATGTTGACGGTCGAAGCACGGGGGGCGACGTTGAGGAGTCTAAAGGATTGTAAATAAGAGTGTCAGGAATGGGAGTGACATGACTGAGATGTCAAACAGTCTGTAAACTAAGAAAATGCACTTCCCTTACTATGCAGCGGAACATACGAGGTCAGAATGGAGTTGAAACTATGGAAATGTTGGCCCTGTCCCAACTATTCACACTACGGCACACTATTCACACAACCCCCGTGGATACCAAGAGCCGACGGTCATTTGCTTTGTTGGCCTGGCTGTAACGTGGAACTCCGTTCATCTTGAATAAAAGTAAATAGGAATGGAGTTGAGTGGTGTGCTGGTGAAAATCACAATGACTACAGCATGGGGCGAGTTCCTACCCATAATAACCTCTCCCACAGTCAGGTCATATTCGTTCAGACGTTTGACAACTATGCGCTCGGTCGCCATATACTGGGCTAGCGAGCCAGTTCAGGGTTGACACCGGCAGTGACAGTTCGGCTACCGCACTGACTACATATCGTTGAGACACAAGCCGCATGGGAATACAATGTAGACCGTTTTAAAGATCATGTTACTGCCACAAACTCCATCTAGCTACCAACGATAAAGAGACGACAACTGCCACCCGGTCGTTTTCAGTCGCAAACAACCGTCTCAAACAGAGGCATATTCTCCAGCGGGTTTTGGAAGAGTTGTTTGGCCACAGTATGCACAGACACACAGGAATTGAACCTCTGCCGAGACCATTCAACTAGTCGGTTGTGCAAGCGGATGCCTACCGGCGTAACAATCCGAACGTCGCTAGCCTGCATCTTTAAGCTGTGAGCTCCACACGATACAAACCCAACGAACTCAGAAGTAAGACGGCCCGAGACCTTGACGCACGTCAGCTAAGGCTACAAGGGATTTCGAATAAAAACCTATCTCTCGGATCAGGAGCCATGAGGAAATTGATGGCGTCCACATCCGGCAAGACAAACTGTTGGGAGTAAAATTTTGCCCGGCTTTTGAACGCGGTCGGCCTAGCCTTTTCAGCTGCGACCTAGCTTGGAAAAGACCGAATATGGCTGCCATCACAGTCCACCGTCTGCTAGGGAGACTCTGGCTGTGTAAATCTGCGGGCGCTATCTGACATTACTATCTCACCCCATTTATGGGTAGTGCCC